AGTGGTTTTCTACGGACATTTTCGCGACAGCCCCAACTTGTTGACAGGCTGGGCCGCTTGAGCTTATGGTAACTGCATTCTGTGTGACTTTACACTCCCCATAGTTAGTCTGTCCTATTCAGGATACGCTTAGGAAATATTTTTTTCATAAACTTTCTTCAAGGCTGTGCCGCAATAATCAATGAAAGTTAACATTCAGCCTCTTCTATTTCTGTTTGTGTGAAACCTTATTGTTGTGTGCCCCTCACCGGCTTATCAACTAACCAAGGATAGAACTAAATGAATTTACTCATCTGGCGCACACGAGATGCCTATCTAAAAAGCGCGGAAAAACGAGACGACAGTGCCCACGAGTCTAGACCTCTGTTGACACGACTGATCCAATGTTCATATACCAGAGCCATCGAAAAGTCAAATGCTAAACCGGGAAGGCAACCGTGGTCATTGGCTGTTGTTAATTGGACAGTGCAATAAATCATAAATGGCTAAGAGTATTAGCACCATTACCTAACTGAGAGGGCAAGCAACCATATATTCTGTACCCTCGATCAACGTCTTCGACTGGCTTTGGGACAACCTAACTTCTTCATAGATGGCTGTCAATAGAATTTAATATGCGATTTCCAGGAAGCTGTTCAGAAGGAGAAGAAGATGCGACCAGTGGAACACGAGTTTTATTTTCCTGACGTTTCGGATTCCGTCGGGAATCCTTAATCATAGGTGATAGTAAGTTAGTCTGAGTCATGCGCAGGCCAAGTGGCTGTGCTCTGGGGTGTGATGGCTGGTCTGGGACATTATTTTATGAATTTTATGCAAAACACTAAACTATGTTTCATTTACAAACACTTATCCTTCGGTGTCACATTTTCACTTCTCTCGTATATAGGTCACCATGTACTTTATCCATCAGGCTTTGTATTGTTGTCTAGGTTAATAATTTGGAATGAGCGATCAATATTCGCCATGTACGTGGCTTAATTAGGACATTTGATGCTTGCTTCAGTTCTACCAGAACATTGACGACTCCCTCCCTTCACCTTCCTTCACCAGGGCATTTTCCACCAATTTGACGAGCGCTGTAGCGCAGACGACGAAAACCACGAAATACGCAGGTGTTTGGCAGGTCTTTCTTTTCTGCGGATACCCTTGTAGTTCCCCTGTCACTTTTTTACATTCTGGATACAAAATCACCGGAAGGAGAGGGGAGTGAGAGTCTGAAGCTAGATGGGACCCGTGAATGAATTGTGGTAAATAAGAAACATTGTAGTAGGCGCCTACTGTAACATCGCACTACGCGCGCGTACATGCGCACGCAGTCTGGTTTTCGGCCAATCACGGCTATCGAAACTGGCTAATCAACATCTAGGCCGGCTCAGGCATGTTCTCACTCAGAACATCTATTTCAGTGGAGAGACCGGCTGTCGCAGCACCGGACGTACGCCCTCCTCTAGCCATTAGCTTATCCCAGCCTTGCTTCTAATCTTTGTCTACAAACTATAATATCCTCCCAATTGGCGTCCCATATTTGCTTGCTTCAAACTTAAGACTGGACCTGACATTCATAATGGCTAGGGTCACTCTATGTCTTGTGCTGACGCGACACCAACTCTGAGGTCAGAGCTCGTATGCTACGGGCAATAAATTCCGACGTTGGATGTGGATAAATGCTACGTTATCGAGATGCAATGTTTCGATAACGCGAAGTTTCACAATTCAAAACGCAATTAAAAGAACGGCGTAAACTGCAGCGACAGAGCGTACAAAACTCGGCAAGCAGTGTCACTGTTTTCAACAGACCGGTACTAGTCGTTTTATCTTTTTAACCCTACTTCGAAATATGCGCACGGGCATGGCATTTTCCGCCTGCATCCCACCAGCGCATCTCGCCACCGCAGGGTCAAGTCAAACGCGATCAATGCAAAGGATTGGCGAGGGCCCTGGGCGAACGGAAAGCAGCATGAACATAACTAGCCACGCTAGCGAATTCCAGCGAACAGACATATCGTCGGCTATTCGTAAGCACGAAGAATTGGCCATCACCCACAAATAGGACAAAAGTATTTCAAACAGAGCTTCGGAAAACAGAGCTGCGGAAAACGGAAGGCAAGTCAATGGATTTCGGGACCGATTTCCTACATGTTTATAAGATTGCTCGACATTATTTAGGCAAGCGGGAACAGTCAAGCAGCAGGTAGAGACCTTTAACAGGAAGAAGGCAATGGATTATGCGATCTGACGCCAAGAGCAGGCCAAGATAAGTTGAGTCCAATAACTTGGATGTGACGAAATCGACTGCCCACACCGTCTAGAGGAGAACAACAATAGGAGCAAGATGTCCGCTTTTGATATGTAATGCAAACCAGGTTGAAGTGTAGCGCGTAACATTTGTAAATAAACTTAAACTCAACAGTGCAAGCAGTCACAGCTAGCGCCCTCATCAGGGAGGTTACCTCGTCAGTCGTTTAAGTTGGTTATCCAGTCGTGAGATGTGTGTGGGGCTGTGTCCAATCGATTAAGGCAGAAAGATCCACCGTCGGCACGGCATCGCAAGTCAAGGGTTAAGTCCCGTAGAGAGTTCGGCTTCATCTAGGCGTTTTCCTTAGGGTCTCTCTGGAAATCAGAGGAGCCGTTGATTACTATTTTGACCAATTTTTTGCCATCTCCGGCATAAATGGGTTTGCAAAAGCCAAAAGCCGCGAGGATCCTGCGACCGTATTTCTGAAGATAAAAACGTTTGCTACTACACTTGAGAGACGGTCTAAGCCTACTAGTAGGTAGCACTAATTGAAGTTGTCACCGGCTTTACACTTATTCGAGTATGGAGTGAGAAAATCAACGGAGAGGCACAATCTGAAACAGTGTCCTTTCAACGAGTGACTCGAGGTATAACTACCTAAACGCCCAGGTACCACCATCTATCAGAGATATTATTTTGTTCATCTCTGATTATCATGACTGAAACGTGATGGTTTGGAAAGACGCTCAAAAAGTTTGTAAATTCCTTTGCTTTGGTCCTCATGTTATGTCCAGCTAGTAATAATTTGGGCTGCCTTTCCCTTCTATACGTGTTTGCATGCAACCCAAGTTAATAAACTAACATTTTAAACCAAATGAAGTAAATGGAGCTCGGGAGAAAACTGTGCAGTCAAATGTCATGTGCATGTGTTAAACGGGATTCCGACTGCTGCTTGATCGGTCCTATTTACCTAGATAATGTCTGGCAATCTGATAGGCATGTAGAAAATCTGCTCCTGAAATTGACTAACTTCTCTTTCGGTTTCCGGAGCTCTACATGAAATCATTTTTGTCACATTTGTGCGTGATGGCCAGTTCTTCGTAGCTACGAATAGGCAACGATGTGGCAATTCGCTAGAAGAAGCCAGCGCGACCACTTACACCCGTACCGCCTACAGTTCGGCTAAAACTTCGATAAATCGGTTGCCTTGGCCACACACTTCTAAAACGTAACATTGGCCCCTCGCCTTCTGCGGATTGAATGCGGCATATATGGTCTTGGTCGCGCTGGCAACTGCAAGCTATTTGCGAAAAGTGATTAGCCAACTCAGCGACTGGAGAACTTGCAAGCTGCGGAGGAAACTGCCGCCGTGGTGACTCATGGTTGCCAACTGTGGGACGCCCGCCTAACTGCAGGAACATGTTTACCACCACAGACTGCTCGAGGACCACCCAGTGTCCACAAGGATGATCTTCAAGAAACGAGTTGAGGCTATGTGGGACATAAGTGAGTTCATCGAAGCATAAGTCTGTTCTGATTCAGGTCCCATAGCAGATAACAGTTTAGCCATGGACTGTTATACAACAACAGCATAAGTTTCACATTACACACGTGGGCAGCATAGTTGTTCTCTTCGATAACCGTCCACTTTTGTTCATATTTTCTCCGACACTACACTTGTTTTACGTGATTGAAGCCGCTCTCCCTAAACATCTGCAGGTCCCTCCTGAGCACTTTACTGTTTGAGATGAAACATCCACGATGATTTGAAATTCGAGATAATGCAGGTTTGGGAACTTTTCCCCGCATTCAAAGACATGTTGTTTACAGCTCACCTTATCGAGAGTACGTAAGGCAATAAAGGCGTCTTCAGTGCTTACAACAGGTCGGAAGAATGCGCTGCACGCATTTGAGTAGAATGTCCAGTTTAAAAATATGCGAGTGAAACGACCGATTACAAAATCAACAGAAGTGTGTAAAACAGGCAATCGTTTAAAAAAATAAAAATAAAAATGAATATAAGTCTAAAATATCAAACATTAAACATCAGGTGAATAAGCTCAGTAAGGAAAGGGCCGTAAGACAGAGTTCAGCGCGAAATTTCCATTCGGTTTTCAATTGTAAACAGAATAGGGTGATCACAGTCGATGGTGATTTTTGTATCATTTACTTCGTTTGAAGTTGAAATAATCCCTCAAAATCAAGAATTTGGTTGTCTTTAAGAAATAAGTCGAAAATCAATTACCAAGGTTCCACACAAGACCCGTTGTAGAAACAGTAGAAGAATGACCTAAAGGAATTAATCCGCACTTGGTACCAATATGTTCACTTTCAAGCCTAATGGCATGTGAACCCTTTCTATGATGTGGTAAATAAACGGGGTACCTTTAGTAACCAGGAAATTGAAGATTCTGTAACCAGCATAACGGGTAATTCAGTAAGGTCGCGAGCGATGAATAATGTCTTCAGTATCCCCATTACATGATCCGCTCTTCCGCCGCTACCATAAAGTGCAACAATAAAGTTGATTTTCTAATAGTAAATATTCTTGACTCGGTTTTCGCTCGGACTTACGTGCATTTGTCCGAAGCGTTCATTGAAGCTATCTCGCGAGAAACAACGTCGAGGCATTTCCTAAAATCGGTAGCATCCTGATCTGGCGTATGGACAACTTCTACTGTGGGCTACAGAGTAAAAGAATAGTTAAGCCATAAGTTAATTCACTTCTGAGTTCTGAGCGGGTCTGTAGGAGTCTCTGTCATCAA